ATATATATATATATTGCAAAACCAAATCTCAAACATAGTTGAAATCCACTGCCAGCAGTTTAGGTTTCCATCAGTGAGAGTGCAAATCCGATCATTCACTTTGTCTGACAAAGGGGACAATCCTATCTCTATGAGTGAATTCTCAGACTGCCCCAACATACCTAGGTTTTGACTTGTAATGGATCTCACTGATTGGCATATCAAAGACAACCCAATCCGACACCTAGTGCAGTACCATAATCAAGTATAGGGGTTATGTGTAACTTTCCAGTTTTGCCCATCAATCTCCAAGGTCCATGGCATAACTGGAAAATGGTCCGGATTCAGTGTTTCAACCAAACACAAACTACATGTGCTTCGGGTCTAACCCTATCAGCTGAGACAAGTTGCCCCAACTTCTTTGGTAGCACATCAGTGTCAGCCTTGGCAGGATAAACTCCCCAAGTCTATCCAACAGTTGAGAACATTCTAAACTAACACAAGTCTCATAAGTGTCTAGTTTAAGGGGTAATTTCACAGAAACATATCAATATCAACATGAAACAATGATGTACTTTTATTCATTTACAATAAATGTATCTGTACATCAAACTAATTGGAGCTAAGGGCATACATTGTCTAACAATGAGTTCTATTGGAGACTAGGTGCATGACAATGGGCAGCATTTGTTTTGTGCTCAATTGTAATCTGATTGAATTTTAGGTTGTATCTCACGTCTATTCTAGGGAAGACTCATTGTATTGTTTTATGATTTGAATTTTTTCATCTATAAAAAAAAAAAAAAAATCCAAAACTTGTCTTTTGCTTATTGGATAAGATGTTTTGTCCTTGCCATCCTTGTCATTATATATTTAGTGTAAGGGCATGTGCTATGTATGTGTGCTAATAAAGGGTAAAGATATAAATTGACATTATATAATCAAATTTAGCTTTTATGATCTGCACCAAAACCAAAGCAAGTATCCACTTTATAATAGTATAGATTATTGTCCATTCCTATCTTTTTATTTGGTCATCTTTTCTTTCTCAGAATTAATGGGTTCAATTTGATAATCTGTTGCGTTGAGTGCCTGTTGGGAGGGTTTTCGTGCAATGGCTTCTAGTGTCACAAGGTAGGCCTCACATGGAAAGCCATGGAACTATGTTTGGTGAAAAACCTAGAAAGCCCAAAAATGCTTACATTGAGCTGAGAAATCGACTTTCTGCTGAAGCTAGTTTTGGTAGCTTCTTCTAAGCTTCCTCATTCAATGCATCTTAATTAATGCTGAAGCCCTCCCAAATGGGCCCTAATAAGGGTAAATTGCAGATTACTACCTTGTACTTTGGGGCTAGTCTCACTTTTGTACTCTAACTTCAAAACGTGCCTCTACAGTACCTGAACTCTTGAAAATTGCCAATTTAGTACTTGCCGTTAGCAGTCCATCAGTTATCTGTATCATGTGATGACATGTGTGACTTAATTTTTTTTAAAATGCCAAAACTACCCTTTTTAATATTTTTGAGACCATTTTATCTTGATTGTCTTCTCCCATGACAACAAGAATTACTTGTCTTCTCCGGAAACAATGGTGGTCTAAAACCTCCCTTTGTTATGGATTGAATAACTGAAAAAGGATTACAATGATGGTAGTCTAAATTCCTCTTCTCCAGCAACGACATTGTCTTCTTTGGTGATGTTTTTCCGTGTAGTTTCTCCAGCGGAAAGCAATACTTCTTTGACATAAAGGTTAGTTCATAAAGTGAACAGTTGTGCCCAATAGCTGTGAAAGGGGATTTAAACATGGCTATTTTGGCCATTCCAAAATTATGCTTCTCTCACCTACTCAAATCTTGAAGGTATTTGTGTCCTTTCACATGCCAACTGATGCCAGTTAACGGTTTTGAACTAAACTGGCAATTTTAGAGAGTTTCAGGTACTGCAGTGGCATGTTTTGAAGTTCAGGTACTAAAGTGAGACTAGCCCCCAAGTACAGGGTACTAATCCACAATTTACCCTAAGATTTAAGATATACTTCTGGTAAATCAGTTCTTGATGAACTGGTTAATTGGAAATTTGGTTGAAGTTTAACCTGTTTGATAAATGCGTTTTTCTTTTCTGTTTTTTTTTTTATTTTTTATTTTTTTTATTTTGTTTTATGAAATTGGTACTCAGCTCCACACAGAAATTTGGATTTATCAATCCAGTGCTTTGTTTGATATTCTCAACTTAGTTATGTTCCTAGATCATGAGCAAGCTTTTAAAGTTTTGGATTTTGTTGTTTTTTCTTTCTATTTGATAATATTTATATTTCCAATATTTTATGCAACACTTGATATGCCAACCCCAACACTATGTTTCTGATCCTTGTTTTGAATTTTCAGTTTTTGGCATTACATATTTTATTAATTATTTTATGGTATAAGAAATCTTCTTACCATGTCTCTTTTCCTTGTTTCAGAATTTCTATTGGATCTTTTAATTACTGAGAGTATTAAAAATAACAAAAGGCCATTAGTGTGGTCGTCTGCTTTCTCATTTGGAGCAATGACATGGTTGAGTTCTGCACAATTGGCATATTCCAGTGAACAGATAAGATCTGACATGGTCTATGAGATTGGAGAACTTTTTGAGTTGGGCATTCAGCTCACTTACTTGCTTCTACTGTTAGGATTGCTTGGGGTGGGTACGTTCTTTGTGATTCGTCAAGTTCTTGTTCGCAGAGAACTTGACCTTTCTGCTAAAGAATTGCAGGTAAGCAACTATATTTGCTTTTCCATTATCAATAATGAAAGTTTGTTCTATTTTTTTTTTCTTTCAACTTTGAAAAGTGCTATGGAATCAATAATACAATTACTCGTGTAAAAATTGGTTTTCTTTTATTTTTATTAGCAACAACAGTTGAGAGCCTTACTAATGTTGTAAAAAAAATGATTTTCATATTTTTATCAGGGTAATATTTGAAATTTTAACTGTTAAAGTTGAAACACTGAGTTGGTGCTGACATGGCACTGTTTTTTCTGGGAAACAGCAATGGAACCCAACATACCCTAATAATTAATTTGACAATGGATATGGTTTTAAACAGAATGGAATGGCGAAACAGGATTCATGTAGCCAACCCAATATAGTTGGGATAGGGCCTGGATGATGATGATAACATCAATATTTTAATTATCTGGTAGTATTTTTTCACATGCATTGTGGATCTATGGATCCATTTTAATCCTTATTGAATCATCCATGATTTTTTTACTATTTAATTATGACCTAGTCTCCACCTGTTGCGTAAATATGGAAAAGTTTCTTTAACTTTTCTCTTATTGTACCTTAAGCTAGGAGTATTAGCAAAGGGTGCCTTTTCTTTTCTGTTCATGTTGTTTTTGCATTTTTTTTGATCAGCAACAGAAAGAAGACATTGTTTTGCAGTTTCTATGTTTTTATCTTATTTCTCTATTTTTGGAATTTCAGGAGCAGGTTCGTAGTGGTGATGCTAGTGCCACCGGGTTGTTTGAACTCGGTGCAGTGATGCTGAGGAGGAAATTTTACCCAGCTGCTACAAAATACTTGTTGCAAGCAATTGAGAAATGGGACGGAGATGATCAAGATCTTGCCCAAGTATGACAAAACGTTGCATCTCTCAAATGCGGTCTTGGGGGTTAATATTGCTTGAATATATAATTTAAAAATATGAATCACATACTTGATGTAAGAAGGATATCCAACCTTCCTACAAACACTTTGGGCGGGGGGGGGGTGCTCAAAATAGGGCACTGTTGTAAAAAGAAAAGAAAAGAAAAGGGAAGAAAGCTAGAATGATATGGTTTAGACCTAGGAGTTGGGGATAGGAAGATGGGGGATGATTCCTGGGAATGGTTTAGGATTGCAAAGGAAGATTAGTATTTGAGTGAAAGGATTTTAGAGAGAGGAAATGTGCTAAAATCTCTGCATTCAAAGAATTTTCAAGAGAGGACTAAGAGAATGAAACTAGAGCTAAAGTTGAGAATGAAACTAAAGAGCCAGACTTTCAATCTATAGAAGTTGTAAGCAGTGAAGATAAGAGGATGTGGGCCAAGAGAATTTAGTAATTGTTGAAGGAACTTCCAACATCCAGGATCAGCTTGAGGTTAATGATCAAGAATAAATAGAGAACAAGCAAGTTGAACAAAATCAGGTTCAAGATACAAATGTGCTGATTGTAGTAGATCTTAGTAAGGAAGTAAGTCATGACTTTACCTCTCAAGTTCAACTGGAATCAATTCAAGAATTACAAGCTAACATAGCACAAGTTCCACCAACATCAATAATGGAAGAATTCTAAGAGTTCTCTGAAGAACGAGTAGCTGAACATAGAGGTGGTGGGTCCTAAACTAGAGATTGAAGGAAAAGCTCTGAATGCTGCAATTGAGATTTTGAATATGAAAGTTAAAAGTGATAAGCAAGGGGGGATTCAAAAAGCTAATTGTTATAAAAGTTAAAAGTGATTGATGATTTTAGTGTTCAAAAAACTAATGTTATTGGCAAACTCCTCCCACAGTTCATCAGCTATGCCATGTATGATGTAGTCTCCAGTAATTCTGTTCAGTTTTGGGAAGATACTTGGGCAGGGGATATTCCTCTTAAAGTCCCTTTTCCGTCTTTGTTCTCTGTTTCTTTTTATAAAAATGAGGTGATTTCAAAATTCCTTCCTTCTGTGTTAAACCCATCGGCCTTGACTTGGGATTTTGGTTTCCGTAGAGGGTTAAGGGATGAGGAAATCCAGTGTTTGTCTAATTTGCTTTGTCTCCTTAAAAAGATTTGGTTGGACCCCTCAAAGCTAGATAAGAGGATTTGGGCCCCTCATACAAAAGGGTTTTTTTTTTTTTTTTTCCTGTGGTTCCTTTTACAAGTCACTTTGAAACTTGCCCTCTCAATAGGTTTTCCCTTTCAAAGAAGTTTGGTGTAGGCCAGTTCCCCCTAAGGTTATGGCTTTATGTTGGGAAGTGTGCCATGGGAAAGTTAACACTATGGATAACCTACAAAAGGGAAGACCCTTTCTTTGTATCTCACCTAACTGGTGTACTCTTTGCAAATCACATGGTTAGGACTGTTACCACTTATTTTTATCTTGTAGTGCCACTACAGAGCTTTGGGTTTGGCTTTTCTCCTTGTTTGAGTGTAGGTGGGAGATGCCAGCAGAAGTAAGCATGTTGTCTAACCCATTTACTCTCTCTTGGCCCCATAAAAGAGGAAGAAGAATGTGGAGGTGTGCGAGAGCTGCTTTGATATCGATAGTTTGGGGAGAAAGGAATGCTAGAATCTTCCAAGAGAAGGGGAGGAGCAGCCAGGCCCTAAAAGACTGCATTTTGATTAGGACAATACAGTGGTTATAGACTATGGAACTGTTTTACCAATTTTCCTTTAATGATTTATGGAGGAACTGGTTAGCATTTGCAAGCTATTCATCCTAAAAGGAAAGGGTCTCTACAAATTGGGCCCCCCTCCTCAAGGTTTTCTGAAGCTGAATTTTGATGGGAGTAGCCAGGGCAACCCAGGGCCCTTTGGGATGGAAGGTGTCTTGAGAAATGAGGCTGGAGAGGTTATCCTTCTCTACTCTGGCCCATTGATCATTGGGAATTCTGTTAGGGCAGAATTGCTAGCTGCTATGCAAGGGGTCCTCCTTGCAAAAGAATTCGGTGTGGAGCAGTTGCTGATTGAAGGGGACTCTAAGGTAGTGGTGGAGTGGTTAAATAATCCGGTGAACGTTGTGTTGGGTTACAAGAATGAGCTAAAGAAATACAAATGGTTGACAAGGAATATGACTGTTACTGTACAGTGGGTGAGGAGATCAGCTAATGTCTTTGCTGATAGATTGGCAAAACAGGGCACAACTGAGGAAACACTATTTTGGGCCGAGCTGTAATTTTGTATTAGTACACATGTACATTACTTAGATTCTGTGTTTTAAGATTTTATGTGCTTCATGTTTGGAGAGGTGGCATCTTGCACCTTCCCAAGGGACTGATTATGTAATTTTTCTGATTTAATGGAAATATGATATTTTATCTATAAAACAAACTAATGTTATTGACGATTTATTGAAGAAGGTTACAGAAGGCAGTGTTTCAGACATACATTTCTGTCAAGATCCCTTTCTAGCTATGACTGGCATTTACTTACAGTCCAAGTGTGTTTAAGTAGCTATGGAAACTCCTTTTTCCATTGAGCTATGTCAACTTTTCATCCTCAAGTTCTTCAAAACTCAAGGATGGGTATTTTTGAGTTGAAGGAGAATGATGCAGGAACTGAAGGACCAAAAATGGAATTTTCTGATTTTTTTTTTTTGTATTTCTATATGTTTTGACAGCAGGGATATTTTCATCATTTTGGCCAGTCCCATGTGGTCTTGGGCCAAAGCATCTTGTTCCTCTACTTTAGTAGGGCTTCTCTTTCAATTTTTTAATTTATTTGTATTAATAGGTAGGAAGTTATTGTGTTTCTTGTTGCACAAGATCAGGAGTGGCAACTTTGTAATTATGATGAGCAGTGATTCCTACAAACCCTAGAGTGACTATAGGACCCTTGGAATGACTTCTTGGGGTTTCTTTCTCTGTTCTCTTTCTCTACCCTTTCTCTTCTCTCTATACTTCTCTATTTCTATGATTCTATCTTGTGTTAGTTTTGTTCTAGACTTGCTGCATCACTTCTTTATGAGGTGAAGCCCATGATAGTCTAGGATTAAGATACTAGTGTGGAGATTTGAGAGTGCTAATCATCAGATTTTGGTTTGCCTAGATATTTTTCAAGAATCAATTGGTGCCAAGGAACGAGTTGGGGATGGCCTCAAGTTGGACCTTGTAGGTGGTAATGGAGGAGGGATTAGTAACTCTAGTAGTACTAAAAGTAACATATACCTCGTAAAATTAGAATTACTGAAGTAAGTGGGTGCTAGACAAGATGAACAAGGGAAAAATATTAGGACTTAATGATCTTCCAATAGAAGTGGGGAAAGGTATGGGGGAGGTAGGTTTTTTATAGCTGACTAAACTATTTAGTAAGATGGTGAAAACAAAGAAGATGCTGGATAAATGGAGAAAGCGCATTATGGTGCTTATATTTTAAAACTAAGGCGATACATACAGTTGCAATAATTATCATGGTATTAAACTCATGAGCCAAACTATGAAACATTGGAAGAAAACAACTGAACAAAGGTTATGAGATGAAAACAAGTAAATCAGAAAAACAAATTTGATTTATGCTGGGAAGATCAACCATGGAAGCCATCTTTCTATTGAAACGAATGATAGGAAAGTTAAGAGAGAAGAAGAGAGATTTTCATATGGTATCTATTCATTGGTCTATAGAAAGCATATGATAAAGTCCCTAAAGACTCTTTGGTCTGTATTGGAGCATCTGTATAGCGACAAGCTTCCTCCTTTGTAACATGCAGGGGTTCCCCCCCTTCTTTGTATATCTCCTCTTGTTCCCCCCCCCCCTTTTTCTCTCAACAAATTCTGGTTAAATTTTCTCAAAAAAAAAATAAAAGAGTAGGAATAGAACATATATATGCAATGTAAATTTAATATGGTAGGATTGCAAAGCAAGGTATACTTAGGATTGGAGACCAAGAGATAATGTGACCCCTTTTGTTACCATGGTTCAATAATTCATAATAAAGGAGAGATTGAGAAGGATGTTGCTCAGAGGATTTGGGCAGGATGGGCAAAATGGAGTGGTAAAAGGAAAATTCTATAAAACAGTTATAAGGCTGATGATGTTGTATGGAACAGAGGCCAGAGTGTTGGACTGTTAAGAAACATGTTCAAAAAATGAGTGTGGCAGAAATGTGAATGCGAAGATGGATGAGTAGTAAAACTTGAGAAGGACAGATCGGAAATGAAGTCATTTGAAGGAACCTAGGAGTTCTGTTGGGTTCAAGAACACACCATCTGAAACACTACTCATGTGCTTCCTTCTTTTTGGCTTTGACCCACCCTTCTGATAGTTCTGTTGGGAAGTCTTCTTGGAAAGAATTAATACTTGTGATCTTCTTCAAAGAAAGAGACAAAATTGGTGCCTTTCCCCAAATTGGTGCATCCTTTGTAGGGATGATTGTAAGACTTGCTACCACTTATTGATTTATTGCCCTTTTGTTCTTTCTATTTGGGAATGGTTTTTCTCTTTGTTTGAGATCCCTCCACCAAATGTTCAAGGTTTGTTCAGTTCTTCATTTGTCAACTGGAGGAAGAGAACTCTTTGGAGGTGTACAAGAGCGGCAGTATGCTGGACAATATGGGAAGGAATCAAAGAATTTTTTCAGACGAGGAAAGGAGCAGATAAGCAATCATTGAAGCCATTACAATCAGAGTGATTAATTAAGTCCTTTAGTAGTTTTGATAATATTTCCACAAATGACCTGCTTCAGAAGTGGAAGGAGGTGGCTGACTCTTGTCTTCCAAAAGCTGTTATCAGTCCAGTTTGGGTCATGCCTCGAATTTCGATGGTAGTAGTGAGGGGAATTTGGGCCCTTCAGGTATTGGAGGCGTTTTTTGGAATGAGGAGGGAGGAATTATTGCCACCTCTACTCGGGGCTAATAGATGTAGGAGACTCCTTGAGGGCAGAAATCTTGGCTGTGATGGAAAGGATCCAAAAAGCCAAGGAGTTGAACATAAGAAGATTGATTGTAGAAGGGGATTCTAAGTTGGTAGTTAACTGGCTGCAAAAAGATGAGACTGGCATTGCCTTGACAACTATGCTAACAACTTTATTTAATGGACCCTACATAATAAATTAAAACGACACCCATGACTAAAATTTAAAAGATTAGTTAAAAACAGAAGATTCCTAGACTCAAACTGTTGAAAGATACACTGTGTTTACTTAGTTTCTTGCTAATTTCTCAGTTGGATGTTTAGCTTCTTATTGGATCTTTAGTTTATTGGGCTTATGGGCCCTTTGGACCTCATCTTTTATTTGTCATTATTGCTGCCTAATCACGTACATGATTGTAATTTTATTCTCTTTATACCAGTTAATATAAAAGATAGTGGGCTGCATCATGGCACCCACATTTGGAGTGGTTTCTCTTCTAATTTTCTTTTCTATTCTTCCTCCTGTATTCCATTCCTTTGCTATTGTTCATCTTATTTCTCATCAATTACGGTCATTTTTTTTGTTATTTTATAAAACAACTCTATCATTAGTACCACTTGGATGCCTTTATACTCATTGTCAACTGGCAAATGGTTAAATTAGACCTTGGACTCTGCATGATCTCAAGTTCATTCAGGTTGGATATCCTTACCATCTGACCAGTTGTCTAGTTATTGAATTATTGCAGGTCGTGGTAAACAATCCTGGAAAACGAGGGGTGGGGGTGTTATAAATTTTGGCTAGGATTTTTAGTATTTATATCATTATATGGATACTATTAGGTGAAACATAGAAAAGGTGAGCATTGGGTGATCAAATTAGATGGATTGAATCTGTGCACCAAAGGATGTAAACATAAATGAGATAAAAAATATAATTTCGTGATTCCCACAACTATATGCATGCATACAGACATAATATATACTCAAATTTATTTAGAAGATGGTAAACATGGTTGTAAGATAAAGCTACATCAGACTAGGTGGTGACCTGGACAAAAATATCATGCCAAGGTGGTGTCTTAGGCTCTTAGCAACTTCAGTTTACTGTAGCATGAAAAGAGATTTTTGCATTGCATATCAGAAGCGCAGTACTAACTTTAACCCTCTTGTTTGGTGTAGAACCTGATCATTGTAACATTTCTGATGGTTTCTTTCTCCTCCCAAACATTCATTAGGTTTACAATGCTCTTGGTGTCAGCTACATCCGGGATGGGAAACTTGACAAGGGAATAAGTCAGTTTGAAAATGCTGTGAAACTTCAACCAGGATATGTCACAGCTTGGAATAACCTTGGTGATGCATATGAACAGAAGAAAGAGTTAAAGTCTGCTCTAAAGGCATTTGAAGAAGTGCTCCTTTTTGATCCTAACAATAAGGTTGCACGGCCTCGCCGTGATGCATTAAAAGAACGTGTTAAGATGTACAAGGGTGTTCCTTTGAAATCAAAAAAGGAACGCTGATTTTTACTAATCAACAGACAACAAAGGGAAGAGGTAATTTTTTCACCGGCAGTCTGTAAATTCAGAAGCATGATTGAATTTTGACTTTGTATTTCATTTGTCATAGTTGCAATGACCATGGTTCTATATGTACAAGATGGCCAAGAGTGAACATGTTAGTGAGACTAGTAGGCAGGTGTGCAGAAAAAAACAAAGTATTCTTACAGAGCATTAGGGCATGTTTCGTATTTCTCATTGGTGCCATTCTTTGCTCTTTTGCTTAAGCAAGTCTGTAGTTGGGTCCAGTGTTTCTGAAGGAAACAATACATGTAGGATTGGAGGGGAGTTTCTTGTGCATACTTGAGTGCAGAAATGTTGCTGCGCAATGCAATCCTAGGAAAGAAAATGAGGTGATCCCTCTTTACATTCCAATTACACTGTAATACTGATTAAATGAAGGCACTCGCACATAATTGGCTGCTCTTTACCGTCAGGTTGGTGGAAAATGCATTTATGCTCATAACAAGATAGCTTGGGTTAATGTGCAATAGACTATTTTTTTATAGGCAGAATTCTATTAGCTCGATGAAGAGTATTACATAAAAAGTCTGAAATAATAGACCAAGTAAAAGTCTAGGCAGAGATAAACCCTGTGTGGCAATTAGATGAGCAGCAACATTTGCTGTCCGTCGAGCAAGAATGAAGGTTAGATAGATAAAGGGCTCTTGCAGGCAGTAATGATATGGAGCAACCGCCACGGTGGATGGAGACCATTCATCAACATGACTTTGAAAATACTAGAAGCATCACCTTCAATAACAACGTTTGATAATTAAAGCTCTTGGACTAAAAGTAAAAGTAGAACATGAAAAGGAGCCAAAGCTTCAGCCATGAAAATTTTTACGTTTAATAGGCAAAGCTCTTGCAAGAAGAAAAGTACCAAAATGATTCCGAATGACTAGTCCAACAGAATCCACACCAAGTTTAAAAGCAGCACCGAAAGACTTAGGCACCAATCAATTTCAGCATGCAATAGAAACGTTGTTGGGCAAAATTTGAAGCCTTTATAACAGGATTTTATCCAGATAAACTTTTAAGAGGATCTCATGGTCCGTTTGGTTGAGTGGAATCGGAATCCCATTTCCATTTGAGGGAATGGCCATTCTCTCCCCCTCCCTTGGGGGAATGGGATTCTCCCATTTGAGGGAATGGCCATTCTCTCCCCATCCCTTGGGGATAAGAATCCATTTCAGCCAATTTCAATTCCTATTTTGATTCACATCTGAACCAAACGGGCAGGGGGAAAGAGACCATTCTGATTCCAATTCCAATAGATTTCGATTCTGATTCTGATTCCGATGGACCCTGAGTGTTAAAAATCAGCTAGTGACAGTTAGTTCATCCTGATTCTTAAGGACAATTTTACCCATCTAATTCTGTAATTGAATTATTGATTGGCTGGGCATGTAAAATACTTAAATGCTCAAGTAGACAACTTTTATTAATGATTAGTAATGGTAATATAAAGGAAATCTAATCGTGATGAATTTAAGAGAAATATAAAAGAAGTCATGGTGAATTTTAGATAATTTTTAAATTTGGTATTTGAAATTTAATAGGCTATGAAGAGCTTAACCGTTTAAAATTATTGCAATTGGCAATTAATACATTGAGTTGGTTAGAATTAATAAGTTGTTAGAGTTTGTGCAAGACAATTTAGACTTGCGTGATTGTATTAGTAAGTAGGCAATTAATATGCTTGTTTCCACTAATCCACTTTAAACTTAAAACTTAAATGTGACAATTGACAATTAATAGATTGAGTTGATTAGATCATTAGAGTTAATAAGTGGTTATAGTTTGGGCAAGACAATTTAGATTTTGCCTGATTGTATCAGTAGGCAATTAATATGCTTGTTTCCACTAATCCAAGCTTAAAATGTGGTAATTGGCAATTAAAAGGCTAGTTAGGGCTTTAAATTGCAATTGATACATATTCTATACCACCACTATAGGTTAAATGGCACCGGTAATAGGTCATCACAACAGAATTGGGATCACCTGTCAACAAAACAAGTTCCAACAACCTAATAACATCTGACACTGCACATCTTGCTATAAAACTGGGGCCATTAAAAAGTGGATGGAACCCACCATATTTATGAAATGTATGGTGTCAGATGTTGTTGGTAGGGTATTGGAACTTAGACCTCAGGTGATCCTGACCCATCACACACCAAAGCCACATGTCTCTTTTTTAAAAATTGATATGGTTAGACCTTAGACCTATACCAGATGTAAACCTTGCCTTCGCTATAAAAACCCATTTGTGGAACTTGACATCCATCCCAAGCAGTGGGCTGGAAAACCCATTTGGGAAGTTATTTTCACTGTTTTCAAAACTGGATCGGATTGGATGGTCGGACTGGAAAAATCGGGAATCGGTTTTCGTTTTCCTCCAAAACCTTTTTTTCCCCAAAACTGTTGATTTTGATCAGTAAATCGCTGAACTGGCTGATTAACCGTTCGAACCGTTTTTACCATTTTTCAATTTTTTAATTTTTTAAAAATCATGGTTATTTCACATTCAAAATGGCCAAGTTCTTTACCATTTGGGTTTTCCTTGTCTTATTTTTGCTCTCAGGTCTATCTTTAAGCTACTTTTGAAGTTCGAATCTGGTTTTCTTCATTTCATTAGTTGCAATTATTATTTTCTCTTAATTTATGCATTTTCTGTTTTTTAGTCTATACGATCATGAAAGAACTGAAAGATCCTTATCTTTCTCTCTTTTTTCCTTTTATTCTCTCTTATGGGCTGCAGGTAGTCCATCCCCCAAACTCATTTTTTCCATTTCAATTGCTATTATATATGGTTTTATTTTATTTTGGGATTCATGCATGCATGGGACATTTTGATGAGTTTTTACTCCTTATATTTCACTGCATTTATAATTACTTAGCGCTGCATTTGGTTGCAATGAAAACACAAATATGTACACTTCATATTTACCCTTTTTCAATTCATGAATGGAAACATGGCTCACATTTTAAATCATTTTTGCACTCATATTGTTTGTTTAAAATCAGTGCAAAATGTGGGCCCATCATTAAATGTTCCAATTATCTTATGCTCCAATGCCTTAGCTTTGGTCAAAAAGTTAATTATTGAAAGAACACAAAATTGTATCCAAAAAATAGGTACAATAATACTCTCTTCTTAGAGTATACAAGTGTCAGAAAATACGTTTTTGATATGACAATCATTACTTTTATACATATCAAACAAATGCTCGCAAACGCGAACTGGGGCATATAAATACCCCGGTTCGGCGTTTGTATCGCAAACAAACGAAGTCTAGGCTACATTTGGAAACGACGCAAATAGTGTAAATCCCGGTTCAGGGTAAATTTGCACTCTGGTTCACTTTTGCCTGTGTTTGACAACATTACATTTTTGCATTGACAAATGACAGACCAATGCATATTTACATTGATAATAAGATGTAAAAGTACATCAATAAAAAAGAAGTAAATTTACATTCAAGTGGGCTTTTGATAAAAAAAACATATATTTTATTGGAATTCGTGTTAAAAGTCTATTTGGTGAGAAGATAAATTTGTCAGTGCAAAACTAACCCAACTTTATAATTTATATGAACTATTTTACACTCTACATATTTATATTCATACTTATTTGCATCATTTGCAAATGCAGCCTTAGAGATCAAGTTGGGAATAATACAAATACAAGGTTTAAATGGTTTTGCATTGATAGTACATATCTGTGTTTGTACTTTTCCCAAACTGAACCTAGAGGAGAGGATCATAAAATAATTTAATTAAGAATTCCCTTATCTTTCTCATTGTTGTCTCATACTCTATTTTTAGAGACTATGCTCATGATAAACCTAATTAGCATTGATATTTTATTTAATTACTCGTGCAATTTGTTTCCACTTTTGCAGTTGATGCCACTAGGTTGCAAGACGAGGAAGGGTGCACGTTACCATTCGTTGCCCTATGTAAAGGCTGTAGGCTAACCTGCACTTTGAAGAACCCTAGCACAGGATACCTCCTTAAATCATATTGTGCCACTACACTTGATGGGAGCAAATGCATGTGCACCCACTCTAAATGCTGAATGGTTGCTTCATTATTTGATGATCTCTTAGCCTCTTCCCCATTATATATGAGTAACCTTTTTGCTTCAATTTGGTCCTGTTTTTTTAAGATCAGATGAAGGGATGGAGGGTAGCACGTCCCCACAAATCAATAGAATAAATAAAAGCGAAAGACTATGGAAGCTTACATAGGTTTAGAGAAACATATCCATCAATCAACATCTGAACTTAATGTGCAGACCAGCCAATCTGCAGCCTGATTAGCTTCATGAAATACATGATTGTAGCTGATTCCCTTCTCGCACTCTCTTTCAGCTCGCAGCAGTCTTGGATGAATACAAAGGGGAGAGCGCCCGCCTTGCCCCAACCCAAAACAATGGAACCACTCCCCCACAAGCTCATGTCTACCCAGAAAAGAGAGAACAACACTACACAAATCCAGGAATGGGGAGACCTAAGTAGTCATCCTGAATTCTGAGTGATTCATATGAAGCTCATGATTTAGTAAAAGTGCCTACACTTCTTCAAAACATCAACTCTTCTGATTGCACTATAATGACCAGGGATTCAAAATCTTGTCTAAGTCCGCTCATAATGTACATATTCAATCAGTTTTGAGTCAAAAGATTTCTTCACCAACTATATGAAAAAGATAAAATTACTAAATTAGGTAATGTGCATATGGGGGTACATGTCGTGTGATGGGATGCTCACGATTCGGTTAATCAAACTGCCGATTTATTTCTAAACCAAACCAGTAGTATTGGTTTTGGAAAAACTAGTAACAAAAATTGAATTAAAGCCAATCGGTTAACAGGTTGATCGGTTCAGTTAATCATCATTTTAATTCTTTGGTTTTTCGGTATTATTTATAATATATATTATAAATAATACAAAAATATATAATAAAAAAATTAGAAAAACATATAAAATATTAAATATATATGTGTGTGAGTATATATATACCGGTCAATTCGATTAATCACCAGTGTTTTATATTACTAAACCAAAACCGAACTAATTAGTTTGATTCAATTTTTCGGTTTTTTGGATTTTCATGAAAACCCCTAGTGGGGCATACTCTTTTAGGGAGACAATTGAATTCTGAACTGTCACTACATTTCTTAATTCTTGCACAAACTGTTATGCTCGGTTCTTTTTAACAATGGATTCTGGTACAACCACCCTAGCTAATTGCACTCTTGTCCTAGCTGCATCAAAATATATTGATCTTAAATAATGTGCTTTCAGGCATAACCACTTGACAGTAATGGCATCACCCTTTTCAAGAGCTTCACCTTTATTTTGATTTAGAAAGGAGTTGAATTTCAAGAAATTTTCCCTGCCCTTATCTATAATTATCGGT